GGTTTTCTCCAACAGCTGATCAAGAAAGGAAGAGCAGATAATTCGGTACTGCAGGATAATGTTGCCCCAAAGCCCATTCTTTTATAGTGGAAATGAATTAATTCAGGCTGCAAATTCCAAAGAAATTTAATTTCTATGTGGAAAGGGACATCTAGAAGGTCTTTACTATTGAATAACAGAGGTCTACCTAGTCTTGGACCTACAAAGAGGTGAACATGTGCTGATTGTGGGGATAAAAGCTACCCAGTGTCAGCAATAGCAACCCCATTGCTAAAGGGCCATCAAGCCTGAGGTTATCATTACTCACTAGAGAGCTGTGAACCAGAGCTGATCTCTGACTCTTCTGGTGGTCTTTGTGGATACTTAGCCTTGTAATGTGCGAAAAGTCTTAAGGATGTGTGTGAAACCCGTCTGAAGCAAAAAGCAACCTAGAAGTGATTTTCTTCTGTCAAAATCACAAGTAATCATGCTCCTTCAGAATGGCAGACAACTTGCCTTCCCACATATATAATACTCTCGCAGTTTCTTTTCATCACTGCTGACAGTTGGTGGTTTTTTTCTTTACTTTACAAATTTCAGTAAGTCCTTGAATTACACATGGAGATTTCTCTGCTGAAGTGGTAGACTAAGTAACCTTTTATGTTTAACACTAGTTGAGGAACGATGAGACCTTTAGTTTCCTGATAGCTTCCCTCAACAGTTGTCAAGATAGAAGTTAACTGAGCATTTCTCAGCGGCAGAGATCCCATCCCTGCTCCATCACTGGCGGTGTTCAAGGCCAGGTTGGACAGAGCCTTGGGTGGCATGGTTTAGTGTGAGGTGTCCCTGTCCATGGCAAGGGGGTTGGAACTAGATGATCTTAAGGTCCTTTCCAACCCTAACTATTCTATGATTCTATGCCATTTCCCTTTTTCTCACCATTTCTTTGCTGAAACCTGATGACTGAGATAGGATTGCTACTGAGACTGGATAGCCCAGTTCTCAGTGACCATGGAATAATCACTCACAACTAATCACTCAGTCATCCTATTAGCCTCCACATTTAACTTCCTAACTTTCTTTAGTCTCTCACCACCTTAAAATCTCAACATCTTTCAAGGCAGCCACTAGTTCTTGCTTTTTTTCCTTGCCTTCCTTCTTTTTCTATCCTCTCTATTTCAAAACGGGAGCACAGCAGTGCAGCATAAGTGAAGATTTGTCAGCGACTTACTGAGTAGTTTAACACAATTTTCAGTATTTTATACTTCTTTGTTCACATAATTTAACATTTTACTTTTCTAAGCAGCTGTTTTCAGCTATTTGTAATGATGCTGATTTATTTATGAGTTGGTCCTAATTTTTCAGACCTCCTAAGAAAACTTGTCCCCTGCCAGTGTTTATGGCAGATTTCATGTATGATTGTCTCAAACTGTTCACTCTGTTGTTGTGTGAGAATATATCTCCAAATAGAGTGAAATCAGCTATGAGAGGAAATACAGTTCCGCTCAAAAGTGTTGAATGTACAATGTGATTCTGGGGAAACAAAATTTCTACGTGGAGACTTTAAATATGACATCACAAAAAATAGTTTAAAAAGGGACAAAAGCTCTTTCACATCCTCTGTCATTTTCCAGAATTACATTCAGAGAAAAATGCTTGCGGGAGCTATCAATGGGGCTAAGTATTAAAGTACCTTATTTACAGATTAAATATAATAAGCCAAAGCACGAAGGAAATGGCATAGAAAAGGGTACTACAATCTCTGATGATCTGTAGCATAGAATCCCAGACTGGTTTGAGTTGGAAGGGACCTTAAACCTTATCCAGCTCCAACCCCTGCCACAGGCAGGGACACCTTCCACTAGAGCAGCTTGCTCCAAGCCCCTGTGTCCAACCTGCCCTTGAACACTGCCAGGGATGGGGCAGCCACAGCTTCTCTGGGCACCCTGTGCCAGCGCCTCAGCACCCTGTTATAGAAGGATAAATTGAGGCCAAACTCAGTTAAAGCTCCACTGACATCACCTACAGATCCGGGATGTCACATGGATTCATCTCTACTTTGCTAATTCTTGAAGTTTATGGCCAGTGATCCAAAGTGCACATTCACCTAACAAGGGAGGGCTCTCAGCCTCCAGGGGTTCCCTTGGATGGTGTCCCGACCCAAGGGGACAGTCCCCAACAACAGACCCACTGCTCCAAGGAGGAGCGACTCCAAATGGCTGCTCAAGGGGCTCCATTTGCACCCTGCCTGAATCCAATGGTGAGGTACCCCGTGTTAGCTCAGGACCCAACTTCCTCTCCCTGTGGGGGGAAGCTTTGGAGGCCTTTGGCCGGGGGTTTGTACCTGCCATACGCCTTCATCATAGAACATTCCTTCCTTCCCTGTATGCCTCCATCCTGTGAAAATAAGCATGCATTAATGTTAAGCAAGCTAATATTTTTTAAGTAATGATGTATTTTATTTGACCAGCTACACACCTGGAAAGCACAGACAGGCTTTTGGGCACACAAGCCCATTATTCAGCTCTTTTGTTTTTTTAATTTTAAGCCTATACCTGGAACATGAACATCAGCAGTGATATTCAGGTTGGTACAATTAGTTACATAAATAGAAGTTCTAATTATGACCAGAAAGAGTATGGTTAAGACCTAAGCGGTTATCTACATATAAAACTATGTGCTAGAACAGTCTCTAGAAAGCATCAGTCAGGTCTGGGCATCTTATGTGAAAGGCAAGTGAAAAACAATAAAAAAAAATATCTCTTCTTAACACACACAAAACAAAATAAAACCAGGTTAGGGGTCCTGACCTAGCAAATATTTTCACACACTTCCCATTAGACACAGGCAGCTATCACAGGCAAAGGCTGAACATCTGTATAAGAGTTTACAAGACCAGACCATGTGAAAATGAAAACAGATGGGCCATAGCTGGGGGGAAAACAACCACAATTTAATCATCCCAACAAATTCTCATGCTCCTTTCGTTTATAGGATTTTTTTCTCCTAAACGAGATGTACTTTCTCATCCAGTAGGCGATTTGTGATCAAATTAAAGAATACTCCCAGCTCCTATAACAAAAAGGAGATGGCAAACCACAGGCACAACTATGGGACAGTTTGGGTTTCAACTTTATACCAGCTTTGAGCTACACCAGCTGGGTATCATTTGAAATACAGACACAGCAGCACTCAGACCTTCAGGAGTTAATCCCTCCTCCTTTGGGGTAAAACTCCAAACTAAGATACAGTTATTTTTGTTGCGGCTCACGCGGATGTCTAAATGACAAAGGATACAGCACATGTGTCCCTGCAAATCCTAATAGAGTCCTAATACATCTGAGTGGATTTCCTCATGGCACAGCTGTAACCAGCAATGAAAGCAGCACTGATGTACCCAGCAGTGATGTGTTACATGAGCATGGCCTATAGAACAGACTGTTTGAGAAATGAGCCCAAGCACTTGGGGTTAGAGGACTAATATTTGACATCTCACAAGGAAGAGTGGGTCAGTGAAGGCTGTAAAAGCAAATGCAGCATAGATTTGGTTTACAAGCCCAGAACCACGCCATGTGCTGGGCTGGACCCCCAGAGCATGAGCAGCAGCTCAGGGAGGGGATCCTGCCCCTTTGCTGTGCTCCGGGGAGACCCCCCTGCAGTCCTGATCCAGCTCTGGGGCAGCAGCACAAGAGGGACCTGGAGCTGTTGGAGAGAGGCCAGAGGAGGCCATGGAGATGCTGCGAGGGCTGGAGCAGCTCTGCTCTGGAGCCAGGCTGAGAGAGCTGGGCTGGGGCAGCCTGGAGAAGAGAAGGCTCCTGAAGGGGAGACCTTAGAGCAGCTCCAGTGCCTAAAGGGGCTGCAGGAAAGCTGGAGAGGGGCTTTGGACAAGGGCCTGTAGGGACAGGCCAAGGGGAATGGCTTTAACCTGCCAGAGGGGAGACTGAGACGAGCTCTTAGGCAGAAGCTCTTCCCTGTGAGGGTGCTGAGGCGCTGGCCCAGGGTGCCCAGAGAAGCTGTGGCTGCCCCATCCCTGGCAGTGTTCAAGGGCAGGTTGGACAGGGCTTGGAGCAAGCTGCTCTAGTGGAAGGTGTCCCTGCCCATGGCAGGGGTTGAAGCTGGAGGAGCTTTAAGGTCCCTTCCAATTCAAACCAGTCTGGGATTCTATGAAAAGTTACCCATCAATCTGGAGGCTGGCAGTGCCTCTGGGGGAAGATTCCCATGACTCTGACTCAGCACAAAACTAATACACATGGAAATAAAAGTCAACTTCAAACTTCAACAGCATGAGGAATCCACAGGAAAAGGAGACCAGGGTGATACATTCTGGGTACCCTGTATGCCTACGCTGTGTCACGCACAGGTTGGCCAGGGCCAGTGGCTTTCTTCTGCTATAGCCACATCCTGCAAAGCTCAGGTCTCTCCATAATTATGTTCAAATCCCACAGACTTCGTTACATCTTAAAATTTATTAAGTACATACTAAACCTTAAGGCCCATGAGGCTTTACAGCACTGGGTCTTTCGTAATTTGCTTGAGTTATGGCTATGATTTACTATGGGATCAGAGCAGCCACCTCAGGGTATAATAGAACAAGCTATTTCTTAATTACTTAATTCTAAATGGAGATGTGGGGGTTTTAAATTGTTAATTTTCTGGGTTTTGTAAAAAAGATTTTCTGGAAACAATCTGATTTATGTGATTGAGCTGGTCAAAACTGGCAGAAGTTCCTCTCCCCTGGTTCATACAATAAAAACCAGCATGAAACTCCATGCAAACAACTCCGAGCTTTTGGGAAAACAGACATTTAGGGAAAAGAATCCTTGGAAAAAAAGGAAAAAGCACCTAAGGGAGGTATATTTGAGATAGCATCTTTGCACTACATCACAGCAAAGTTAGCTATTGTGGTATTAGAGGCAAAGTGATGGAAACAAAAGAATTGTTAAGAGCAGGTTGCTAAACCTGCACAACATGGTGGAACACCTTCATTGAGATTCCTCTCCTTGTGTCTCTCTTACATGCAGGTTTTGACCAACTTTGGTTTTCATGACAATGGAATTTTTCCTCCCTGTGATGGAAAGGAAGAACCTCTTCCTAAGCCTATTGATCTGCTACAGTTTGTTCAGAGCTGCCGATCATCACATGGTAATTGAAGAGAAGACAGAATGCAGCCTGTCGAGAAACAACAAAATGAATTTCTCAGATCTCCCACCCATCTCCATAACAGGTGAGTGAAATCTGCCATTCACTGCCAAAGCAACAAGATTTGCAGAAAACACAGTTGACAACTGGGATTGACAGCTTACTGCAAGCGTTGTGGTTTCATACAGCTGCCTTGGCAGCACGCACAACTGCAACGGCAATGCAGCCGCATCACCCCGGGCTGCAAGTCTTGTGTGTTCTTTTTCTGTTAATAAGGGCATTAATCTTTCTTTGACAGTTTAGTGCAAATAGAAAAAGTTAACACAACTTGGGGTTTTTAGAGTCTGCTCTTGTGGCAGACACATCAGCAGGTCTCCTATAACCGCAATTTGCCTGTGGGACAAGTGATCTTTAACCAGGGGAAGGAAACAGCGCTGCAAGAGAGAGCCAGAGGTCTTCTATTTATCTACGATAGGACCAGCTACGTCCCTGTCCTTGCTGGCAGGTGACCATCTGGCCTGTTAGGGAAGAACCGTATTAGGGCAATCCTTAACTATCTTCTTCACAACATTTCTTCCTAGGGTCTGCTCTAAATATTTCCGTGTAGTTTAAGCCCACTTCTTTCAAGAAACAGGTATTTGTGGATAATCAATTGCAGAACATCATTCATATGGTATCAATACTTCGATAATTCAAAAAAAAAGGCTTCTTTTATCCTTCCTATAGGCTTTTGGGACTTCTGCTTAAAGAAGGTTGGTTTCTTACCTTGTTTCCTGTATTTCCTCTGTACTCTTCCTCAGGACAATGTTTCTTTAAGGAGAATCTGTTACCCCACACGTGCATTTCCAATGACATCTGAGCCTCTCAGTCCTGAGTTAACTCCAGGTCATTTAGCTGCATGTTTATTAAAGCCTGTGCTGAGAGGCTTCTCGGGCCGCACCATTTCATGGTCCTTGTGATCCTAACAGCCTTTACTCTGACACTTCCAATAACTTTTTATTCCAGTTAAATTCTGAGAGATAAAATACATTCACATCAGCTGATTTCTACCTTCTCACAAAAATGTGCCTGTCCTTAAACACTCATCCTTCTCCTACATGCATACAAATGGGATGAACATTTGACACTGAAAACAAGAATAATTCAAAAGAATAGATCGTGGCGTAAGACTCACCTCTTACATAGCCTGCTTGCCTTGGCTTATTATTCCAAAACAGAAAACACGGATGCAAACCCATGGTAACTCCATTGGCCAGGACTGCACTCACTTTCTTGAGGCACAAGGCATTTCCAAAGGTATCCCAAGGCCTTTCTGCAGCCCACTTGTTCAAAGATGAGAGGCCAGCCTGACCCTCCACTATCCACACCCAAAGAAGAGTGGAAAAATCACAAAGTGAGAAAACTGAGACACATCATTCCTCTTTTTTCCTCATTCAAAGAAGTCTGACCTAACTTTTGAAATAATTTATTTTGGAGCTGAAATGGCACATGCTATTTCTGGGTGTGTAATGTGTAGCCACATTGCCTCTATCATTTATTAACTAAAATAATTGAATTATGACTTGATTAATTATAAATTAATCAAAAGAATTCATTAACACATGGCATTTGAAGGGCATTTGAAAGTGGGTGGAGAAAGAAGGTGCAGGAGAAAGGACACGGGCTGACACTGTTTTGGGGTTCAGGTTCCGAGACCAAGGGACCTTCTAGCCCTGCTGAGAGCAGGAGGATGGCAGCAGATCCTATCATTTTCACTGAAGTGAGCTGGGAATAGCATCCCCTGACTCAATCCTTGTACAGAATCATAGAACCACAGAATGGGTTGGGTTGGAAAGGACCTTAAGATCATCCAGTTCCATCCCCCCTGCCATGGGCAGGGACACCACACACCAGACCATGTCACCCAAGGCTCTGTACAACCTGGCCTTGGGCACTACCAGGGATGGAGCATTCACAACTTCCTTGGGCAACCTGTGCCAGTGTGAGCAACCTGTTCCAGAATTGTGAGGCATAACTGGAGGCAAATGAATGCACATTTGCTGGGCTCTCTGCATTACACAGCGGCTGGATGAAGAAATGCAGCTGTGCACTTCACAGTGCTGAAATGAATGAGAAGAGTTGCTAGATGGAGAGAGACTGCCTTGGTTGCAATCCTGCAGGGGATGGAAATGAGTCAAAATTGGAGAAACTAATGCAAACAGGGGAAAACAGCTGGAAAAAGCAGCCAGGCAGAAGTGGGAAGGGCAGGGGCAGAGGTGGCTCCTCCAGCTCTGCCGCTGCTCCCTCTGCCTACAGCCACAGCAAAACCCCTGCAACACTCAGGAGGAAGGATGGAGCCATATGTGGTAATATTTATTGTAATGGAAGTTCCACAGCAAAAGGCTGACAAGCTGCTCTCACCACCACAGAAACAATTAATTTAAAGCAAATATTAAGAGAGTGCTTAAATCACCACAGCATCCTCTCCCTTCCTCATACTGTCAATTTCTTTATAATTCATCAGTTATAATTTATTTTATGATAGACATAACTGATTTCTGTATAAGCTAACAGAAAAAACTTCTTGTCAGCTTGATTTAAACATTTTGGGTAGAGGTTCCTATCTCAGTGACATCTTATACCAAGCACTGTTCCTTCCGGTTGGCCACACAAAACAGAGACTGATGTTACATCTCAGGTTTTAAATCTTGCTGTAGCCATATTTGAGTAGCAAAACTCACTTTCAATCAGCTGTTTACACACCTGTCAATCAATCACAGCGCTCATGGTATCAAAAGATGATGTGTCTGGCTCAAATTCAATAGAACACATGGCTGGAGCTGAATCACAACTTGAAAGGCAAGCACGGGTTTTGCATCAACATCAACTCGTCAAACATGCAGTTGTCTAACTAAACCACACTTTCATAGCACTTCAAACCACAGCTCTATCAACAGCAGTCAGAGGTGTGTGTTGGCAATATTTTCACAACCCTGTATTACATCTTCCCCTGATGTCACAGATGGGATCTGTAAGGAGCTGGCCAGCCGGGCAGCTGTTGAAAACACAGCAGGCAGAGTATAAGGAATGTGAGATTAGAGGCCAGTTGGGAAAAGCAGGTTTTTACCCAACCCAGAGGAACTATAGAAAAGACAATCACGTCATTCACCTGTCAAAAAAAGCATCTCTCCACTTCCCTCTCATCTGCCCACTGAGCATCATTTTCTTCTTTACCGAATTCCTTGGAGTAATTAAAGTGCATTTATATCTCACCAATGTTTACATCTCTGCTTAATGACATCATAAACCAGTTAACTGAATGTTATCAAAGCAGTTTTATAGGCAAAGCAATCCAGAAAATCCTGTACGATTGTACCATAGAAAGATAATGCAGAATCAAATGGCTCACAAGCACTTTGGTTAACACCAGAAAGTTTTAAGGGGCAGCATAACAAAGCCAACAATCTGTCAGCTGGAAATGGATCTAAAGCACTAATGCTGGTTAGTGCAATGCCTTTTTAAGATGTGCTCTTATTAAGTTATAATAACTCTACATGCTTGAAGTATAGTTTTTCCTCCCTCTGTTAGAGATGTATAACCTTAACTACAGTGATGCAAGCACAATAAATGAAACCCCCCAAACCAGACCAAAATGTGCATTCTTTATTCTGCAATTCTGTAAATTTTGACAATTCTTAAATATTCAAAACTACCTTATAGCAAGTACTGGAATAGACAAGGAGCCAGTGTTTATGAGCGGGTGCATGTAAGGTTTTCATCCTAATCATCCTGACATACAGGGAGTGCTTATTGCAGACCTCACACACTTAGAACGAAGGTATCAAAAGCAGTGCAACAGATTAGTGAGGTAGGAATTCGTCCTGTGTTAGACGTCCAGACAAGTCTCAGTCATGGAGTTTATATACAGTGATAAATAGCACTGGTGCTGATGTGATAATAGAAACAACTGCAGTAAATGCTGTTAGTTATTTGATCTAAAGAATAAAAAGTTACATCAGGCACAGTCTGAACACACACACACACACAATTTATCAGATCCAAGATTCACCTCTACATTCACAGACCTGAAAAGTTACAGGCACATTAATGAAACACCTTTGATGTTTTGGAAGGGGAAAAAAGGAACAAAGAACTGAAGAACAAAAAGTGGCATCATACAGATGAAGAGTTCATGCCAAATCAACAAGGCAGCTTTTCGCTTGTGCAAACCAGCATACGCTTGTTAATTCCTGCCAAAATTACTCAGGTAACACCACCTTTTAACAGAAAAAGCGTGTAATTCTGAAGGGTTTTCCTGATTTTGTTCAGGTGACTGAAGTGCCCTCATCTTTTACACAGAATTACACTTCTGAAATGATTTTCTTGGTTTGCATCTGACCAAGCAGGGTGTAAAGAAGCCCTCCTAAAACACAGACATCATGAATGCCTTTCTGCTTCACATGAGCAGCGGTTTGAGTTCAGACACATGATGTCTGAGTGAGGATGGCTCCTAGAGATGAATGTCCCCACTGCAAAACATGCAGTGATGAGGTGGAAATGCAAGTTATCTGCTTTCTCTTGCACAAAAATAGTATTAAGTGTCTCAAATAACATGCTGTAAAATTGATTTAATGTTATGTTGTGCTGTTCTCTTTGAAGATTTAACTAAAAGATCCCAGAAAGTCAGCAGGAAAGAGGCAGAGATCAGGAAATCTTCCAAGGTAGGTGGCTGTTCAGAAAACATTGTTGAATTAGAATGGTTTATCGCTTCCATACTCCTCCTCAATGCATTCATTTGCAAGGTTCTTATGGCCATTCCCCAATTTAAATAATTTGCATACAGTTTGAAGCTCTTAATACTGTCAAAAGAGATGCAAAACACTAGTGGTAGAAAGGAAACTATGTGGATTAATCAGAGGTTATTGTCTGGGCTTGAGGAGTCTTGTTGGGTTTGATTTTGCTTTCATTTTTTACAGTCCTCTCTTACACAAAAGGTTCTTTAACCTTGAGCTGGTTTAAGTGTTTGTAAAATCATTCAGGCGTCTGCTGCTCAAGGGCACAAGCTCACTATCTGCAGGTGCCAAAAACTTAAAGTACAGGCATAGAAAGAAGGTGGAATTCGGTTGAATGTTAACTAGTAATTTTATCACATCAATAGATTCGAATTGATAGATTTCCTTCATGTGATGTTGCCTATAGGAATGTGAAGTATTACAGGGACTGGACTCCTCTGTTTTAACGATTGTGTAGAAAAGTAGAAAATAGCATTTTTACATTATTATTAATACGTTATGATAGCCATTTATAGCCAAACCAGTCACTGCTGCAACCAGAAGCTTTTAGAGCTGCTTCTTTTCCATTTTAATTGCTATCTCATGTGGTTAACCTTTGAAACACTTCCAAACCTCCCAGGATGAGGCAGGTTGAAAGGGGCCTCACGACATCATTTAGTGCCACCTTCAGCTCAAGCAGGGCATTTTTGTCATCAAACACTGTCAAAAGTATTTTAGCTTAAAAGCTCCTATGGCATTTGGAGACCTCAGAACATTTTACCTTAAAATTGAAACTCCTGAGAAACTACCAGGCTGAAAAAGTACATCGGGTGCCTGCAACTGGAGAGCTCTGGAGTGTCTCTCAGGTCCCAGGCACATGCTGATCAACCCAAAGCTTTCCACCTTTCCAAATCACAGACAGAAAAGCAGCACTCCTAGGGTAGGCTGAGAGATCTTTTCCAGCTCACTTACCTGAGTGTGCAGTTAAGGATTCCCATGCACAAATCTGATGCACAAAAGATTACCGAGCTCCAAAGGCAGCTTGAGAAACGAACCAGGAGAGGTAGAGCACTGCCAAGTCACCTCCCCTCTCTCCCAGCCTCAGTGTGGGTTCCAGCTCCATAGATTGGCTGGGAGGTTTCACTCTCTTATTTGAAGCCTTTGGGGATCCAAGGATAATTCCTTACTTTGTTCTACTGATGTCATTGTCTTTGCATACTCCCATGTCCCTTTCTTCACTGCTGCCACATTCTTCCCTACAGATCATTTTCCAGTGCTCTATCCAGTCATGTTTCTAATTGCTTAAAACAGGGAAACATCTTGCTCTAGACACTGTTTCCCATGATCCTGTCCCACCATATTTCTATATCGCTATTAATACAGGTCTCACTGCTACCAACTGCCTACTCATCTCAAGCCAGGAGCTCCCATGGTTCACTTTGCCCCTATGCTTTGTTCTGACCCATACTCATTTTACATTTCTATGAATTTTCATGTCTTTTCATCTAGAAAAAAGCTGGACCAAAGACATCTCTGAAACCAAGGCCCACACCAGCTGCTGACTGCGTGCCAGACTTCAAAACCTGCAAACCACACTTGAACTCGTGCTGTAACTACTGTGCTTTTTGCAAATGCCGAATTTTCCAGACAATCTGCAAATGTCTAATGTTAAACCCAAGGTGCTAGAGCCAGACTGGGAGCACAACAGGGCCTCTGTCTTTCAGTTAGCTTCTCACATGTAGATTTCAAATTGCCCCATGTGTGTAGCAAGCAAAGTAGAGAGCTTTGAAGCTGGCAGCTTGCATTTGCCCTTCTTAAAATTACATGGATAATGTTGGGTTATTTTCCATTGGGTTAAGGCTACCACAAGGACAGCATGGCACCAGTTCCCAGCACAGACAACAGCGTGGTGAAAGTTCAGGTTTCAGGGTTAATTCCCTTTTCAGGCATTCAACAAAAAGCAGGATGAGAATTTATATAGGTTGTTCTTCCTGAAAAGACAGACCCAAAACAATAACACAATTTTTTAGTCACCTTCAGCTGAGCATCAGTACCTCCACCTCCAGGGTTTTACTCGTTCTACCATTAACCAGTATCTCCAAGGTGTACAATATACCAGTACATTTGAACCCCGAACGCATCTGTGCCTCATGACTTCCCCAGTTGTATCCATAGGAATTTTCTAATGCTCTGGGCAGGTCTAATTGAGAGGCCATTTCTTTACTAATTTATTTCTAAGCACAGCCGAGGGCTACAGAAATCTTCCAGGCAGGCAAAGATGACGGAGATGACACTCTGAAGGGGCTCAAGCCATATGAACTCTTTTTTCTTCTAATAATCAGTCCAAAGCTCAGAACAGAAGTCAGATCTTGACAGAAATACTTCTTCACAGACTATTTCAAGTTAGAAGGGACCCATAAGGATCAGTGAGTCCAAGTCCCTGCTCCTCATGGGATTAGCTAAAACTAAACCATAATGACAAAAAGCGTTGTGCAGATGCTTCTTGAACTCTGACAGCTTGGTGCTGTGACCACTGCCTGTTCCAGGGACTGACCACCCTCCCAGTGAAGAACCTTTCCCTAACGTCCAACCAGAACTTCCCCTGACATAGCTTCATGCCATTGCCTATCACTGGTCACCAGAGAGAGAAGATCAGCATCTCCTTCCTGTGAGAAAGGGCACCCCACAGCTTTCTTTCTCCAAGTCAAGTGACCTCAGCTGCTCCTCTTAAGCCTTGCCTTCAATACCTTTCATCACCTTGGTCACCCTCCTCTGGACACACTCTAATAGTCTGAGGTCTTCCATGTATTGAGGTGCCCAGAACTGCACACAGGACTCGAGGTGGGGCCCACACCACTGCAGTGGAGAGAGGAACAATCACTGCCCTTACCAGCTTGCTGTGCTTGATGCACCTCAGGACACAATTGTCCCTTTGGGCCTGCCAGAGCATACTGCTGACTTGTACTCAATTTGTGATCAACCTGAATTGCCAGAGCTCTTTCCACGGGGCTGCTTTCCAGCCTCTTATCCACCAGTGTGCATGTATAACCAGGGCTGCCCTGTCCCAGGTACAGAATCAGGCACTTGCTCTCATTAAATGTCATACAGTCAGTGGTTGCCCAGCTCTCTAGCCTCACCAGATCTGTCTGTGAGGCCTCTCTATACCCTCTTGGGAGTCCACAGCTCCTCCTAGTTTAGTAAAATGAGCAAACTTACTTAATACACAGTCAGTTCCTGTGCCCAGATCATTTATAGAAAAATTAAAGAACACTGGCCCTAAAATTGAGCCTTAGGGAACCCTATAGGTGAGTGGCTGCCAGCCTGATGGGACTCCATTTACTATAACTCTGAGTGGGACCTGTAAGGCAATCTGTCACCCAACACATTATGGACTTGTCTAGCTGCATGCTGGACGTTCTATCCAGAAGGATACTGTGACAGTATAAAAAGGTCTGCTAAAATCCAAACCCACCACATTTACTGGCTTCACTTGATCAGCTAGAAAGATGACCTTGTCATAAAAGCAGGGCGACCTAGAGCTGGTTGCCCAGGACCACATCCATATGGCTTTTGAATATCACCAAGGAGGGAGCTCCACAACCTCCCTGGGCAACCTGGACACTGTACTCCAAGTGTGGCCTTACCAGTGCTGAGCAGAGGGGAAGGATCACCTTGACCTGCCAGCAACAGAGCCTAATACAGCCCAGGATACCATTTGCTTTCTTTGCTGCAAGGACACACTGATGGCTCATGTTCACCTTGGTGCTCACCAGAACACCCAGGCCCTTTTCTGCAAAGCCACTTTGCAGCTCGGTGGCCCAAACAGATACTCCTGGATGGGGTTGTTCCTCCCCTGATGCAGAACTTTGCCCTTCTCCTTGTTGAACTGCATGAGGCTCCTGTCAGACCATTTCTCCAGGCTGTCAAGGTCCCTCTGTATGGCAGCATATCAGCCGCTCCTTCAAGTTGTGTTGCATGCAGACTTGCTGAAGGTACACTCCATCCCATCATCCAGATCATCTATGAAGATGTTAGTCACAGCTTGCTGCTGTCAGCTAAAGAAATGGAAAGTGCCAAGAGCCACAACAAAGAGCTAGAGATGCAGAAGCTGAACCAACAAAGTACAGCGTGGTGCTTGTATGCAATGAAGGAAAAAGAAAGACCCTTTCATATGAGAATAAGGGATGTGGGTTTTAACACATATGAACATACCTTTCAGTATAGCATTTATGCATAGTGCATTTCCACAAATTTGACTTCTTAATAAGCCTTTTTTTGTAACTAGAATTTATTAGAAAGAGGTCATGCTTTCTTTGACATTCACCTATTGCACCAAAGAATATATATAACCAAGTACTCTGAAATTGTTATTAGCCTTAGTGATTTCACTTTCCTGGGTAAAGATCATGTTGTATTGATAGGACACAGAAATCAGTAAAACATGTACACCTAATATTTTCTTCCTATATTTAGCTTGAACAAATATTTATATGAGGAGTCACTTGTAAGTGTGAGAGTCCCCTAAGGGACCTATTTGAAATGTCATCAGCACACAGATAATAAAACAGAAACATAACAAAGATGAAGTGTTTAATTTTCAGTTGTCACATACCAAAATGTCTCCGCTGAAAACTAATTGGAATTCAAGCTTAGAGACAGACCCAGTAATGCTCTGTGACAGAGTCATTTTTTCCTAGAGAATAATGGAGTTTTCACCCTAATTATAGCCTAGTAGAATTTAGCACACATAAATCCCTATTAGCTTTTCCAACTATTGGCCTATCTTTTGTGAATTTAAAACAGATACTGTATTTTCCCATCCAAAGTCCTGACTTGATTGCTTATTGTCACATGCAATGACCATAAAATCTAAGTTTATCCTGATGGATAAAACATATGGTAGAATTAAGATGTTAATGACTATGCCAAACTAGTTCTAAACACCTCTTAGTTTTCCACACTAATTACTGAAACTGGGTGACCCCAGAAGGAAAGCAAACACTGCCCATGTCAGATTCTGGGATCTTCTCACAAAAGGAAAGATTTTATGGAAGGTAGCACAATTCTGTCCAAGTTCTATAGATGAGTCAACAGTATTGTGATGCTGCTCTGACTGAGGGTGATGAGAGATTCAATAAAGTCCCTCTGAGATGCAAAGATAGTGCTAATCTCATGATGAGCTGAATTATAGGAAATTTGAATAACCAAACTGAGGAGCCAAGGAAGAACTTGCTCATGCCATGCCCAAAGCTGACTCTGTGGGAGCTCTCTTTTACAGTGCAAAAATAATATCATGTTAGTCCTACAGCAAACATGCTTCTTGGCATACTGTGGGACACACTATGTGTGAGATATTGCAGTCTTCAGGTCACCCACTGTATGGGTGTAGGCAGTAAATGACATCCAAGGCCAATTCAAAAAATTATTAAAGCATAACATTTTTCATCAAAGCATTTCAAGTTGAATTCGACCATTCTGTGGCCAAAGAGACTCCATAAACACCCCAAATAGACTAATTCTGCTTTTGTTCACACCCAGAAAACCAAAATAATTACAAAGGGACTCTCCTAACAAATGCATGAGCACTTCACATTTTCTTCTGTCTACTGCTGAGCTGTGAACTGTTGCCCTTCTGGACAGCCTTCTCCACAAAGGGATCTCAGCACATAGAAGAACTCTGGGTTTGAACTGAAACAGGGGAAGTTCAGGTTAGATATAAGGAAGAAGTTCTTTATTGTGAGGGTGCTGAGGCGCTGGCACAGGGTGCCCAGAGAAGCTGTGGCTGCCCCATCCCTGGCAGTGCTCAAGGGCAGGTTGGACAGAGCCTTGGGCAACACAGTCTACTGTGAGGAGTCCCTGCCCGTGGCAGGGGTTGGAACTGGATGAGCTGAAGTTCCTTTCCAACCGAAACTGTTCTGTGATACTATGATTCTAAGAGCAATCCCTCACCCTCCAAATGCCCTTCTTAAATCTGTGGTGCCTGCAGATTACTTTGAGGCAATACAACTGTTTTACTGGCAAACCTCTCAGATGATAGGCAGATGGCCAACACATCACTAAGTCCCTCTCCCACCTCTCCCAGAAGAAAAGGGAGGCTTTAGGCATTCCTGCAGTGAAATGGAAAAATACAATTGCTGCGTGGCAAACGCACATGTATTTCTATCCAGGAAATCCTTTCAGATGAAATCCTGGCCTGCAATAGGGGAGTCCTTAAACAGCTGCAATATTGTCATAACACAGTTCACATGTGGCATTCATTTAATACATGTAAAGGCAGGAAAAGACAAAAGTATACCCTCCCTGGTGATCCAGTGCAGGCCCCTTTGAATCAGTGGAAATCTTCTATTGACTTTAATATACTTTAATAGCCATCTTCATTGCTCTCTCTCTACCACCATACCAGGTGGATTTAGCTAAGAACAGTGTTCTGGAGGTACCCTTGACATTTCAGTTGAGGAAACTGCCAAAAATAACATTTGTGATCTCATATGGGCTTCCCTTCACTCTGCACAGCTGCCTCCAGTAGGTAAATGACAGGATGATACAACTTACAACAGTAATAGCCATAAATCGACCATCAGAATTACACAGTCTCTCACTCTTCCTTGTGTTCTATAACAAACAAGTGGCATTAAAGAAAGACTCAAACAAAACCCTAACAAATTCATTAAAGGCTGATGGTCTTCTACCTCTTGGTGAAAGATAGCAATTCTTTAAGTCTTCTAGAAAGGACATGGGAGCAGATGCATTTAAAGTAATTCAACAGCCAGGGGTCCCTCACTCTGAAAAGGCCTCAGAAATACCTGACAGATCCAGATCACTTGAAGCTAGCAGGTTTTAGTACTTAAAAGACGTCCTTACTATAAAGCTGTGATTCAATTCCTAAGAACTTCTCCATTTGGGAAGCAAATATTTCAAGCACTAAATGAGCATACCATATGGTTTACTTCCCTTTATTCTCTTCAACATGTTCAACATCCCTCCATCATGACAGCTTTCTTCTAAGTGCAAGGGTTTAGTCAAAGATGCCAATCCTTACCTACAAACCAGCATCTTGTTGGCGGGACAGACAATCTTGCAGGCAAAAGGCTTCAGTGTCAAAATGAGTCAGTTTTGGCAGTGTTATAAAAGTGTCTAGTTGCTAATAAAATACATATAGGAATCAAGTTTTGGAGGGGAGGAAAACCAGGACCACCAAACATTTGTTCTGAGTAGAAACCAAGTTAATAATGCAAAACAGATACCCACAATAAGCACTGGCACAAAAAAAACCAAACCAAACAATCTGGGTGTCAGGCTGATTACTAACTTTTAAGGTGCTTGCAATATTACAACTAAGATGCTGTTCAGTTTACTTCTAACATGTTGCTGCTCCATCAGGGAAAAGGAGCAAATGCCTATGAATGTGGCCCATTTAATATTCCCTTATGGAAACGACTTCCCAGTTGATGATACCAAAACCAGAGTGC